GTTTGGGTTATGGTCTTATAAAACTATGATTGCTTTTGGCTCCCTGCCATATAAAATACGCTCTTACTGTTTGAATCCAAGTAGGCTATGCCCTAACATTCCCAAATCACTAAACATGACCTTTGAGTCAGTAGCTTTCCGAGTTATCATCCTCTCTGTTTACCCCCGTGGAGCAGTAGAGACTACATGTGCACACTACGCATCCTCATGATACAAACACAGGCTTTTTGCTCATGTAAACAACTCTGTGTGCTTTGCTAATCCAACCAGAGGTAGACTCCTGTCACAGTGTGTCACTATCTGTCAGTGTACTTCTCCGGGGCTTATGAAGGGGAAGGAAAGTTGGCTTCCCTAGTAATGTGTGCTCACTCTTATGTGGCTTGGACGCAAACCACTCCAGCGATTTTACAGATGAAGTTCAGTTTAGTTGTCACGGGGAGTACTACTCAGCCTGTGAAAACACTTGTATAATGTCTGCTGTGGCTCTGGAGGGCCACACCAGAGCTTTGCGAGGTTTGAATAAATAACCCTTGCCATGTCATCAGGGTTAATCCTGGTGTTGCAATTGGAAACTGGGGGGGTTTGAAAGAAGTAGGCGTTTAGGAGTCAGAAAAATCTAATGAAAGATGCTGTCCAGTTGCATCATGGGAAATGTAGGATGGTTTTGGAGTTTGAGCCATAATAGGGACTAAAAGTCAGGAATTTCTCTGCCTCTGCTGTTTCAATTTTGACCATTGTTTTTAATGTTTAAAATCTCTCTCTTGAGAATTTATTCATTGAAATGCAATAGAAAATCTCTCAAGTACCCCTTTCATTTATCTGCTGCAGCAGAAAGGTAAAAAAAAAAAAGCTATGTTCCAAGTCAGTGCCATATATACAGACGCCATACTATTCTGTATAAAACATTCTACATGTGAATGGAAAGCATTGTTAATGATATTAAGAAAATATCCTTCAGTACTGGGTCTTGTTTATAGAATATGTTTTCCAACCTTTAAAAGAGATGTGTGTTTTTGTGTCTTGCACTGTATTTTACTCCTTTTTTTGATGAAACAGTTACTTATGCAACAAAGTGACATGTTTGTTGAAGCCTTGATGTTTTCACTCCTAAAGCCAACATCCTGCAACATTAACAACAAGGCAGAAAAAGTGTGTGTGTGTGTGTGTGTGTGTGTGTGTGTGTGTGTGTGTGTGTGTGTGTGCGTGTGTGTTCGTGTGCGTGTGCGTGTGTGTGCGTGTGTGTAGACATTATATATATTATGCAGACACAGATGCTGTCAAGACAGCGAGAGGGGAGCAGTTGGTAGAATACGCATGGGGATGTAGTGTTTCTATTTGATGACACTGAGTCGAGTCAGTGTTATGCACAGTTTTGTTCATTTGCATGTTGTTAAAAGCCTTGTAGTAGTCGACGGTTACAGCCAAAAGAGAGCTTTAGAATATTACAGTAGATCCAGGCGTACACAAAAAGAAGAATTTTGCACTAAATCCACTTTCTTTGAGTTTGTAAGTTATATATATTGTCGATTTATCTGTTGATCTCTAGACCCCAAGAAATCTGTGCAAAATCTATTCTAGAGAATTACTGTCAGCAAAAATCAAACCAGGATCAAATGATAAAAATGTAATTTACTAACTCAAAAAGGTGGATTTAGTATTAAGTTATAGATAATATAGAATATTTCAGTCTATTCCAGTCAGCATCCTTATCCTGTGGACCTGACTCACTAAACCTAAATCAAGAATGATTGGTTCTTATTAAATTTGTAAAAGGGTTGGGATTCCCTCATCAATCTTCTCCAGCAAATTTGTAAGAAATGAAAGTCAAGAAAGATTAAGGTAGATACAGGCATATACAGCTGTGTATGTTGATCATAGTAATGACACAAAAGTGGTTTTATGAGCCTTATTTATGACTCTAATAGAACTGTTCTGTCAGTTTACAGTAAAGATTATAAAACCCTATTATGGCGACGTATTGACATGTACCTCCCAGTTCTAAATGTCTGCAACTTCATAATTTAGTCTCAGTAGGGAAACATGAGTGCAATTCAGGAGGACAATGACTTTTAGAGAACCAAAAAATGTGACTTTGGACCTAAATACTTCATAGTTATATTTGTATGCAAGACTCCCCCGGAGCTGTTTTTTTGTTTTATTATGTATGAATCTCTAATGCATGTGTCATGGTTTCAGCTGGGAGCATGCTTTTATTACAATGGATCAGAATTTATTGTGTGTTGGAGGATGAGGATGTTGAAGTCAGAGCCAGCTCTAAGTGAAACATTAGTTTTAGTGCCCCTGACACCGAGCATGGGAGTTTTGATTGCAGCCATATTGCACAAGCTGTCTATTGAATTTCGGCCTAAATGCACTTTTTCTCTAGCACATACAGCCGTCACTCTTAATGAAATAACAGTGTCATCTCATTCTCTCTGTTCCCCTGCCGTCCCTCTGCTCACTTCTCTCCTCCCTGATCCTCCCATTTCCCTTTCTTTCTCACTCTCTCTCATCTCGCTGTGTTGCATCTGTGGGGACAAGTAATGAACGGCTTCCCTCCTCTGATTGGATGATGTATGAAATTATTAGGTGGGATGAAGGCGTACATAACTGAAAGGGTATGACATGGAAAAGGGGAGGGAAGAAGAACAAAGTGCAGGAGTAGAGACACTGAAATGTTTTGAAAAGCAGCTTTGAAAGAGAGAGGATAGGGAGTGCTACAGATGCTTGCTTGTAACAATGGGAGTAGGTCACAGTTTCACTGATGCCTCAACCCTGGCACACTTCCTTTGGGAAACTGTCCTACAGATCCCATCCCTGCATCTTCTGCCTCTCTCTTGCCGAAGAAGACAGGCAGATTGCGCAGTGCCCTAGGTTCTTCTCTGGGGAGTGTGAGTGAGGACATGGGCGAGGTTTAGCGGAGGGGGAACTCCCAGGCGGCCCTCAGTCCTCCATTGGCTGCCATGAACTGCTCATTCCACGTTTCAACTCCCTTATTAAATATGCGCTGAAGGAGACTGGTCAGTTCACTCACCAGCCTCAACAACTGAGCTTTAAACTCAGACAGGGGAGTAGTGTGGCTGAGGCAGCGAGGTGCTGAGCTCCAGAGACAACTTAGATTTCCATAATGCAGAGAGTGGTTTGTGTAATTGAGAGAAGCACTGTTGATGTCTGAGAGCTGCTGCAAATATTCCGTCCGTTTCTTAAATGAACGCAAAGTAGGCTGCAGGGACTCATGAAACATTCAGCCTCTCGATTCACCCTCCATCCTCTCTTCCTCCACCCAGCCACCTTGATTATACATCTTTTATTTAGCGGGAGACAGACTAACTCTCTCGCTTGACTTCTCTGAAGGCCCCAGATCTTGCTATAAATACCACTGGTAGCAAGACAGCAGACTGAGCTTAATTTATACATGCATTTTCTTCATCAGTTAGTTGAATTACTAATTTCTGATTTGTTAGGCTCATACATTCCCAGTTAGGCTCATACATTCCCAGTGTTAAGTGGATTAGTCTGAATCTGTACCTTGGGCAATTCGCTAATTAACTAAGGAATTTGTATTGAATAATGAAAGCCCCAACAGTATTTATTGTAGGGCTGAAACGATTTATCAATTAAATCGATTCTTAAAATGCATCGACGCAAATTCTTTGCATGGAGGCTTTGTTTAATCCATATACAGCACACTGTTTCGCACGGACACTATTACTGTCGCAAATCATTCTTACGCTGTGAACGCGACGTGATTATGATGGAGCTGTTTGCAAAGTGGAGGAAGAGAGAGAAAATAGCGAGGGACAAAGAAGAAAGTGTCCAAAGTATGGGATTATTTAAAGCTAAAAGAAAACAACAACTCTGTAATGTCACAGTCCGTCCACCATCAAAATGAAACTTATGTGGCCTCGCAACAGCCCAACAGCGCCTGATCAGAAAGCACCCAGTGTTCTGCCAGCGGTCCACAGACAAGGTAACGGTAACAGCAACTTTAGCATTTAACCGAAATCATGATTGACTGTTGAGTTGAAGGCTAGCCAAAGTAAGCCACAATCCTCAGCTGAAAATGTACACACGTGTATTTGTTGTTCTCCTGGTTAAGCCGTGAGTTTGGGTTGTAACGTCGCAGTCAAGAGTTATCTGTCGGGAGCTGCAAGTTAAGGCTCGTGCAGACTACACGACTTTCAGCGTCGGCCGATGGCCGTGCAGTTCAGACTACACAACTTGCCATCTTGTGAGGGGATTCTTGAAGTCGTTGTGGCGTTCACACTACGTGACTGATCGGTGACAGGGGGTCACGCACTACACGAGCTGGCAGCGGCTGTGTCACCTGACACTGTAATGTGAAATGGGAAATGAGCAATCCTGAACACGAAACAGCTGTTGTTTGTTATTATAAAGATAGCGATTATAAAGACAAAAAATATGGGTGAAACAATGAATTAGCACACGCAGGTAACAGGGATCATCTGTGCCACAGAGAGAGCTGGAGGGGAGTAAAGTGTTTTGCAGTGAAAAAGTAGCTGCCTGCTCTCATTGGCTGGATGTTGCAGTAGGCGTTTGGGAGGGTTGGGGGTGGGGCGCCACCGCTTCCGCCACCAAGGAAAAGTACTTCTTAAACGACGCATCGATGAATCTGTGAAATAATCTATAGAAGCTTTGAGTAAGCTGCAGCCCTAATTTTTTGTGCTGAATATTTTTATATTCTCCCTCCGCTAGAGAGAAATGGCTAACTTCTAAGAAGAACTAAACAACATGCTCACAATGACAATCTTGATATGCTGATGGATGTTATAATGTTTAACATTGTCATGTCTTAGTTTAGTGTGTTGGCATGCTAACATTTGGTAATTAACACTAAACTCTGTGGTTTAATCTCTGACATATTTGACTAAGCCTTTTCTTTTTTCAGGTTCTGTAAATTAGTGAATGTCATCTCTGCTCTCGACCTCTGGTCACGGCACCTGTCTAATACAATGTTGTTTTCCTGTGCTCCCTTGCAGAGCCACAGCTGAAGGGCATTGTTACCCGACTATACAGCCAACATGGATACTACCTGCAGATGCAGCCTGACGGCACCATGGACAGCACAAGGGATGAAAGCAGCTCATTTTGTGAGTGTGTGTGTGTGTGTGTTCATGTCTATAGCCTACATGTTTTTGCTTGCGGTCATGTAATTTTTATTAAAAAAATATTCACAGTCTAGTCTCTAGCACCACTAAAATAGCTGAGTAGAAGCCATATTGAAAGGAACACCTGCAGCTTTCACCATCACATAGCTCAAGCATGGAACAGCTCATACCCTCACTGGGAACCAAATCTCCAACTTTGGCAAAGTTAGTGTTGTACTGTACACACTGAGCAAAAGAGAACCACAGTAGGTGTCAAACTGTGCTATAGGGGCCCTGTGGCTGAAGAGTCAAGGCAAAAGTTAGTATTTCGTCAGCTCATCTGTCAAATTTGTTCCAACTTGTACTATTATTTTTGTCTTTTAATAGGGAGGAATATCTCGTCAAACTGCCTGTCAAACTTTTGCAATTTTATGCTCATATACAGAAAAGCCACACTGTGTTAGAATCACAGATACTGATTCTGATTGGATCCATAACTCAGCATTTGAACTTTATAAACCAATAAAGCAAGGCTGTTGCCTGGGCTCAAAGTGCCTCAAAGTGAGATACTGCCACCATTGAGATGACATGAATGTTCATCCTGACCTTTAACAATCTGAATTTGGTTTTCAAACCAGGAACTGTGCAGTATTCTCTTCCCAGTGTTGTGTCTTTGTATATGCCTATTTGACCTTCCAGAAACAGACATGGGCCCCTTTTCAGAGTGTAGTTTGAAAGATTTATTTATTGAACAACCTATATTATTTCTTGATGAGTCTTTTATTATAACAAGTACAGAGTAGTTTAACTAACCCAGATACTGTATGTATTTATCTATTCACTTTTCACTGTCTAAGCTCCATTTTGTGTGGCAGAACACCTCTATTATCATGCAGGTTTAGAGGCAGTGTAAAGCATAGTGAAGGTGACATGGTGTTGTGTTTACATAAACATAAATTCTGAGAGGTCACACCATTTGTGCTTAGAGTGATATAGCATGCAGCAGTGACACTGCAGCCATTCAGCCTAATACAATGAGGACAGAAATGTCTACTCTGGTGCTATACACTATTATATCTCAGTTTCACAATAGTCTCTGACTTTCTTTTCTCTCTCTCTTTTTGTCATGCCCTATCTCTCCTACTTTCTACCCCATTTTAGCACAGTTTAATTTAATTCCGGTGGGACTACGGATTGTGGCAATCCAGGGGGCAAAGACAGGGTTATACCTTGCCATGAATAGTGAAGGATACCTCTATACCTCGGTAAGTACGCCCTACAGATCAGTGACGTGCACATAGATGAAACTCATTTCCATTTGATCCTAAACCACTTTGTTATAAAACAAAACATGTTGCTGTGACAGAAAATCTCAGTGAAAACCCAAATATGATTGCTCTGGTTTTAGTAAGATGGTAAGTGTCCAGTTTGGGATTAAAGCTACATGTCTTGCTGATATCTCTACAGTAGACAAGCTACTACCTAGCGACATCACTGACATGGGATTCAAAGGGGGGATACCAATCAGAGCTTCAACATCTACTGTCATTTTGGATTTTAAGGGTTCAGCTATCAGTTGGACTTTTAGTTTAGTGTCTCTCATACTTCAGGATAATATACAGTATACAGTGTAAGGACTCAAGTCTCATAAACTACTGGGGACCATATTTTACCATTTTCACATAAGTTACACACTATGTGATACATGTATGTGTCCTTTATATATGTGTACCTGAGTACACACACATAAATGGCCACTCGTCAAACATGAAAACAGGAAATATATATATATATATATAGTATATAGTTATACTATATATATAGTAAAAAAAAAAAACCTGTGCATGAGTGTGTGTGAGCGAGAGGTGAGACACAGAGAGGTGGGAGATAGGGTGACAACCTGTTAGACTACCTGCATGAGTATTCCAATTAGTTTTGGGAAGACAGGAGGGGAGGAAGGAATGGATACTGAGTGGGTGTAAAACTAAATATTACTAAGGTGCAAGGTATTTTTAGGCCAACCACGGCTGAATGTTAGCAAGCATGTTGACATAATGATTGTGACCAAGTTCTGCAGTTAGTAATCAACTAATGCCTGAAATATATCAGATTCTAAATTAGATGGAGAAAAAGACAAAGAGTAAAATGCAATCAGTAATCAGGTGCAGGTGAAAAAAAAACAATGGCCTGATTGATTTATTACATTAACATACATTAAATCAAGTGACTTTTCAATTGAGTAGATAATAATATTACAATGGTCAGACACCAAATCAGAATCAGAAGGAGCTTCATTGTGTTTTACACATTCTGGGAATTTGCTTTGGTGATAAGGTGCTACACATAGACAAACAAACAGCTGAATAAATGTAGAAACATATAAATATGGAATACACAAATTCAAGTTATATAAGAATAATAAAAGAAACAGAAAAAAATACAATTATTTGCAAAGAAAGAACAATGTGGCAGATATTTACATGTGCATTATTGGTGTGTGTTGCACAGACGTATTGCAACGGAAGAGAATATATTGTGTGTAGAAATGTGTGAAGCAGCATCAGGAGGATGAAAAGAGAGATGAGGAACTCTGGAGTGCAATTCCCATGACAGTGTTACTATCACAACTTGTTTTGTCTAATTGTCTAAATCTAAAAAGATTAAGCACTCGTGCACTCACTGGGTGGTGCCCTTGGACTGCGCTACATACCGCTTTGGGGTACGCAGTTGGACCAGCATGTGGACAGCGCTTGTAACATTGCTTTAGCATGATCATCGTGTAAAACCACACATTTTTGATCAAGGCCGTGTTGACGCCCCTCTCGGCCTCTAGTGAATCTTTCAGGACGGGCAGTTTGATCAGCACCCTGGACAGTGCTTATAACATTAGTAACATGTCATCAGTGTCCAATCACTTAACCATAACCACATGGTTAATAATACATGACTGTTACAGGAAGTTTTGACTAGTTACACCATATTGTGGCTGCCAATGTTATCTATCCAATTCTGATATAAGATAACTGCACAATAGTAATAAAGTTATACATGTGCTGCTAAATAACAGTAATCAGGCTATTATTGTGCAGTTTATCGGACAAAAAGCAATGTTTGCGATGCGAGAGCCCTCTAAAAATATAATATAATAAAGCTGTGAATGCAGGAACCCTTTTATGCACATGAGACGTGAAGGGGAGAGCATCATCTGTACATGTGAGAGTTAAATCTTGAATTATGGCAAATGCGTTATCTCCTATTATCTTCTGAGCCCCTGATTAGCATGCAGCAGACTTTGGTGCCTTGCCGTGAGAGGAGAAGGGATTTCCTCAGCACCAGTCAATAGCTGTACTGAATCCCACACTGGCCTCTTTCAGAGATTTCCCTCTCTCTCTCTCTTTCACACACACACACACACACTTAGATTTCCAAGAATGAATTGATATAGGTGCTGTACAACAGAACAGCTGCCTTCTTGTGAAATATTATGCATGTATGATTTTATGACCCCACGTTATTGTCTATCGTGTATCTGAGTACTAATTTGTTGGTGTAGTAGAGTGTGCAGGTGGCATGATATGGCCCTTTATGCATCTCTCTGTGCTCTGAGAGCAGGTTCATATTTGCTTTTAGATTTAAACAGCATGCCAAGAGAGTGCGTGACACAGACGAGGAAGGTTTTCATTTACGATACATAAGCTCATCACTTATGTCAGTCTCAGAAAAGCTGAGCTGACTGACAAGAGTGACAAGTAGCTTCCTTACAGCTATTTTCTCATCTTCTTGCATATACATAGTTTGGTTTTTTGGTAATTTGGTTGTTCTCTCCTGAATAACTCAGATTCTAAAGCAGATTTTCCCTGAATCCCTTACTCACGCCCCCCGCACACAGATGTAGATGGTCAGGATGTGGGGCCTGAGCAGACGAGCAGACTAAGTCCACTGCTGCTTTGTCTGAAACATAAATCTCAGCCTCACTACCTGTAGCTGACAACAGGAAATGGCTGATCCTGATATAAAAATAGAGCCTGGCTCATTCGTGCCCCATTTTATAATCTATGTGCTCTGGAAAACTCCTCATAGACAGGGAGAGTGTGTGAAAGAGAGAGAGAGGAAAAGGCTTGTGCTGAAGGAGGCTGATATGATTGTTGACAGGCAAGTTTTCACAGAAACAGTTTTGTGCCAGTCAAGATTTAGGTGTGTAAATCGCCTCTTTACATTTTAAAAAAGGTCCCGACAGACTGTACAATATCAATTTTGAGTCATTGGTCAGTAAATGGCTAGAATTTGAGATGTCGAGCCATATTTTAAAGGATCGGTATTGGCCAAAATAAAGCCGATCAACTTCCAATCCTGTCTTTACATGACTGTACTGTGTTTTGTTCCCCTCAGCCGGCTAGTGTTGCAGTGCTGCTCTCCTTTACCACAACCGTCCGTCTCTACAGTGCGAACATTCCACTGCATATCTACTGTAAGTGAAAATTAGAGTGTGTGATGTAAAAACATGGTTTGTGCGCACCGGTGAGCGACTCAGTGAGTTCAGAGAGGGAGTTTGGCAAAATACACTGTCTCCTTCCACTTTCTTAGTAAAGCGTAGTGTAGAAAGCCAGTGCTGTCCGTCACTCGCACTAGTTTAAAATGACAAATGTTGGCGCCGCCGGGTCACATCAGCTGTCACTAGTTAACATTAATTCCAGGTCAAACTTACAGTAATCTCTGTAGCCTGCGTCTGTGCTCGACAAAAGTTTGTTTGTTTCTGTGTTTCCATAGTTCTAACAACTTGTCATCCCTTTCCCTAACATCAGGAGATGCGTTCTCCCAGTTGAACTTTTATTTAGGGCTGGGCAATATGGCAAAATATGTTATCACGATAAAAAAAATCATATTGTTTGTTATCAATAATTATCACTATAAATGTCAAATCAGTATTTCTTTCATGTTTAAAGGTGGATTTTTGCTGCTGAGTGAAAGTTGAACAAACCAGATGGTTGATTGTGGTTTAAAACTTTTCTTTATGGTCAGTACATGGCAGACACTTGCCAAACAGTGGATCACTTCACAAATCCGAGGTAGAACTTTCAAATCAATATAACAAAATATTTTTTAACTTACATGTATGAGTAAAATTAAAATAAAGTGCTAATTTGTTTGCGATTAAAATGTATTAAATCAAATATTTATTAAACCTTTGTTATATTTTTATTGAGGAAATTATATTGCAATAATTATCATTATTGTTTTATTGCCCAGCCCTACTTTCATTTATATCATATCAGGAAACTGAAGGTAATAGTTTCAAACCAAGATCTTCAGTATAGTGATCAAGTAGCTAGTGAAAAACAAGGTGAGTCAGATTCATTAGCTAGAGCTGTCAGACACATACTTAATCAGCATTTATGGTAAATGTAAGCATCAGATCGGACTTAATCGGAACATCTTCGCTAGAATGACAAAAAAAAAAAACACTTAAAGGACAATGGCACAATTTGTTTGTGATCTGTGCAGGCCTGTGATAACTGTGTGTGATAGACAGAGTGAGAAAAACAGAGAGACAGAAGAGGGATAAAGAGAGAGAAAGAGCGTTAGACTTGTTGATGAAAGGATGAAATGTCCTTACTATTCTTCTCACCTGAGGATCGCATTGAGATGCAGGACAACACCAGAAGCAAGATAGCATCGCTTTTACCACAGGACAGGGTAAAATGTGAACATTAGAAAGAGTAGCAGAGAGAATAATTGGCTGGAGCAAGACAAAAGAGATGAAGTGCAGAAATGCAACAGTACAGACAGCTACTTTGCCAGGCAGCCAATTAAGCGCACTTAGGGAAGGCAAAACCTATTATGTCTGACTGACTCATGATGCACTTTGTACCAGTGCTCTCCTTCCAAAATTGTCTCAGGAATATGTTGGAATGTAATTCTGTGATTTGGCAAGATTTGAAATACCTATGGTGATGATAATACACAACCAACCACCACTTTTTGTCCCCTCTCCTACCTAGGAAACTAAAAGCAGGGTGATTTCTGATAAAGGAAGCAGGCAGTGTGGCGCCGGCCACCTCTGTCACTGAGGGTCAAAGAAGGAACATCAGCTGCCTATCCCCACTCAGTTACATTAAATTGACAGGGGCCTTCCAGCTGTCAGTCAACACTGCGGAGGCACGAGTCCCTGCACATTATTATCCACTCTGATCTTGTCATGCGAGCATCATACCTCCCTAGCCTATCATAAAGCATTACAGACAGACCATACATGTGTGGTACTAGACAGAATTAACTGTCAGTCTCATCCTCTGTAAACCCCCCTTAATAAGCACATCTGTGCCCTATTGACTTACGTAACGTGGTGTGTCATAGTGCATCTGCATCTGGCTCGACAACAACAGCAGCAACATGACCTGCCGGTGGCATGCTGCACCTCTCTCTCTCTCTCTCTCTCTCACACACACACACACACACATATTATGAGCATGTGTCTGTGTGTGTGCAACAGAAGACTGTTGTGAATGAACTTGACATTTTCACGTTGTTACCATGTGAGTGGGTTGCTGCAGCACTATTGCAGCACTGTGGAAATATGGCGGATTACTGCAGCTGGGGCAGATTTCACAGTTTGCCATAGATTACACTGGGAGCTGATGGGACAGTTAATAGATGCTGGAGGCCTGTATGACACTGTGACCCCTGCTGTCTAAACAGGGTACTGCAAATCATTTGCACATCAGAAAAGCTACATGTTTTGAATTCCAGAAGTGGAGCTTCATTTTCAGGGGCACTGGTTGTCATTTCATGCCTGTACATGCATGATGAAATTAAAGTAAACAAGTTATTAAATATTATTCATGGATTCACTATCTTTTTAGTAATAACTTTCCTTCCTGTTATTATATTCTAATTATATGCAGGGGAAGACGTTAGTCAGGGAACTCTGCCCTGTGAGTTTGTATTATTAGTACTTCACTGTCCTTATTTGGTGGTAAGTGCAGTCCCAGTGTACGGTGGCGTCGAGAGTTAAGCTTCCTGGAGCAGGTAGAATCGATGTAATCAGAGGGATGAGGAAGGAGGTGGTGTGTGTGGGCGGGGTGGTGGTCGGGACGCTGCTCTGCATCAAAAAAAGGTTCCTCCCCATCTTGGGGATTCTCAGCACGGATGCTACATATTACCTTCTTCATCTGCTTTTATTTAAATTCATTTTTTTGCTTGAGACACAGGGAAGCTACCCCAGTCTCCCAATACGTCACGGTCGAAGAAACAGGTTATTTATTTCTTTTCATTTGTAGTCCGGGTACACAACATTGAGATGGAAATATTCCCCCATCCCTCTTAAAAAAAAACCTCAACACATCCTCAACAATTACTCATCTGCGCAGGTAAATCTGGTGGTTTGAGTAATATCGTCAGTCAGTACACCCTGGGTGGTCTCTGAGGTCGCCAGGTTACCTCAAGGTGAGTTTCAGAGCTGGGGATAATTATAACAACACATTTGTTTCAGTAAGGAACAGGTATACTGGCCATTTTGGTAGGTTATCATGAAAAAAATCACTTTATCTGCCTGTCTTTGAATCTTCAGGACATTTATTTCACAGTCTCCTCTCTCAGTGTGATTTTTTTTCTCCAGACCTTTGGAGACTGTTTGAGTGAAACACAGAAGATGTGGGTTCTATCATTAGGCTAATTTCAGGGGACTGATTATGAAGGGTAATTATAGGATGACTTGGGAGAGGGGTTACCACTGGTGTCATTTCAGAGGTTGAGCTGAAGGGTATTTTGTTGGAGTGATGGGTTCTCTTTCCAGAGGGACTTGAGTGTCAGATTGTGGGTGCTGGTGACTAAAGCCCTTGTCTGCCCAGCATTCCTGCTTTGGTCCTGGGGGAAATGCAAAGAAGCAGGCCTCGGGCTTCTCTCTTCTTACTCTCCCAGCAACCCCTCTGTCCTCTCTGAGTGATCTTCTGTTCTCTTTCCTGTCTCTCCTACCTTTCCCCTTCTGTCTCCCGCACTTCCCACCCCTCTTGCTCTCTGGCCTGATTAATAATGAATGAAGCAGATCATCTATCGATCCCATCCCCTTTGTGTTAGCGCAGCAGAAAGTATCAAACATGTCAGAGGATCTTAAAATAGCTCTGCGATGTGGTGTTGGTAGAGGGAGAGTTTGCTGAGTTAAGGGTAGGGGCTTGTTTTGTTTATTATGGGGAGACAGTAGTTAAAAGGGCATAAACTGTGGTGGAGCAGCAGGGCAGGAGTGGACGGAGAAAGGGCACACACAGTCCTGAAAGGCCTTCTCAGCTAAAGGATAACGGCTCCCTGTGAAGGAGAAAGGTGATGATCTGTGATGAAGTGTGAAACTCTAGGTCTCTTTTACCTTCTCAATCTACTTTTGGGTCTTTATTATTGCTGGTCCATGCCAAGTTGTGATCCTTTGGCCCTCTTCTGTCATCCTCAGTCTCAGAGAAATTCTCCATTCGGCCATTTCTGCCCTGCTGCTCTCATTTAATCAATCCAGCAGATTGGCTTTGCTCTCTGACAGGAGAAGGACCCTGTCGAGACCCTGATGAAGACTAAGAGAGATGTATATCTGTCGTTATTGGTTAATATCACCAGTCAACATTATGCAGGGTTCAGTAGTCCTTATGCTGAGGACAGAGAGGGAGGGGAAGTGCTGCTGCAACATGATCATTTACGACAGGCCATACTGTAGGATCTGATCCAACGAATTTGATTTTGTATTGTCTGTTCAGATTTAGCCAGTCATGGACAATTGACAGCAGTCTATATTAAACGGATGAACAGTACTATTGTTTCTACATACCCAGAGTCTAAAAAACTGCAAATGCAGTGGTCTCCAACTTTTTGGCTTGTGACCCCTTAAAATAAAGCAGTGTCTTAAATAGTGTGTCTATGAGTTGTGAGCAGTTCCCTTCTAAACTTTTTTTTTTTTTTTACCTTTTCCACCTTGATAAAGGTCTGGCATTTTAACCAATATGCCAAATAAATAAAGGAATTTGAAAAAGTTAAATATTTCAAAAATTAACAAAGGGGAAAAAACATAAAAAACAAATTAGCATTGCCTAACTTTTGATCCTCATTCTTTCCTATCCCATTATTCATGTTGCAACCCCTCAGATTACATCTTATGACCCACTGGAGAGATCCTGACCTGCATGCTGGGAACTACCATGCTTGAAGTTTAAATGTTTGTTAAATGTCTATGAGATCTAATAAAGTCCATGGTACTCTGTGCCGCCTAAGTATCCACTTAAGTCACTATTTTTACAATAAACATAGAAATAACATGACACTCCAAGATCACTTACATGATACACAGCAAATACATGTGGATATGCATACTGCAGAAAAAGTGATTCCAAAATACTGTTTTTATGGGGGATTCAGTTCATACACACCAACTTACAAATTTCCTAAAGACTGAACCCATTATCTAGGATCTTGTTCATTATAGGTTCGGCAAGTTGGTTTCCTGAACTCGGGATGCCTCTGAAGCAGTCACTGCAGTTTAATGTCAGAATTTGTCATTTATAGAACGTACTGTATGTGTATAGATTGAATTGGTTGTTGTATTGGTGTGTTAGTACTCCTCATCTTCTCTGTCCGTTCCTTTGGGTGATGTTTAGCAGACATGTTTATGCCATTTCTTCATGCATAGTATGCATCTATGTCTTGCTGGTCCCAAAGGAGCAGGTTGGTCATGCTTTCAAAGAAACACAGCCACCTAATTAATGTATTTCACTGCTTGTGTCCATGTATTTTTATTCCCAGTGTGTGCTCACATGCACTGGAGATTTTTCTTCTCTTGCCTTGTTTGCTAATATGAATGCACCTCTCCCCCTTTCCCATGTTTATTTTCAGGAGCACTTTACTCCAGAGTGTAATTCAAGGAGAGTGTGTTTGAGAACTACTACGTTACATACTCCTCCATGCTCTATCGCCAGACCCAGTCTGGCCGCTCCTGGTATATCGGTATCAACCGTGATGGCCAGATCATGAAGGGCAACCGGGTAAAGAAGACCAAAGGAGCTGCACACTTCCTGCCTAAAGTTATAGAGGGTTTGTGTCCTTTGTGTTACTTTAGAACAATTCCAACCAGTTTATCTTGGTTATTAATCACCTCCTTAATTATTAACAATTAGCTTCTATCTTTGTCACACAGTTGCGATGTATAAGGAGCCATCGCTACATGAGCTTGCCAGTGAACCAGTGAGTCCTCCTCGGAAGACAGTGAAGACGTCAGATTCGCCGCCCCTAAAGAACGGTCGAAAAGAAGCTCCAAAGGCTGATGCCTCATAGCACAGGAGACTGAGGGTGGGACAAAGGGCAGCAGTGACACTGGGAACACAGCTGTCCATTATGCACTGAGGGTGGCTGAGGGATTGGCCCTCGCCAGCCACCACATTCCAGAAGTGCACTACGAGATGCTGAGGGATAAAAGGGTCAGCAGTCCATCAGCAGCCTAGAAAGGCCTGAGAGAGCCCCTCCCAACCCCCACCACCTGTCACCAGAGAAGAAAGCCCAGGACCTGAGCCAGAACTGCTACCACTTTTTGTGCCCCCCCCCCCCGACTCCCTAATGCAAATTCTCCTTCATTTCTCTGCTATGCTCATGCCTCTTTGTCCCACCGACAGTCATCTTTTCTCACACGCTTTTCCCGCCGCTTGCACTATTGCACTGTATATTCACCACTCACGCATTTCCAGCGCTGACTCGGCATCTTAATCCTCACCCATGGGCCCCTCTTGAGCCCAAAAGTTGGTGACAGTGTGTAGCTCAGCCAGCTTTCCACCCACCATCTGCTGACCAGCTAAGCTAATCACCAAGGTCAACTGAAGCTCAAAGCGAGATGAAACAGCTCAGAGCGGAAAGATATCAGCAGGAATCCTGTGTCAGGTCAGGTCAGGTCAGCTGAGCAAGATGAGTGCATGAGAAAGTGTGCGGACAAAATAACATATTAATATATTTAAAGAGGAGTTTTTGACACAGCAATTCTTTTTCTTTTTATGCTTTGTTTTGGTTTGAATTTTTCAACCAATCCTGTGATAAAAATTGGAATTCATGACTAATTCATGATTAAAATGATAACAGTGCTCAAAAAACAAGATCAAAACAAGAGCAAGGAAGCAATTAGTGTATTAAAAAATGATGGTGATTGTGATGATAATGATAAGATCAGGATTTCAGAATTCCATAAGGTGAGTGTGATGTAAATAAGTTCACAAGAGAGGTACCGCTTGCATAAGCATCACATAAAATAAAATAAAATACAATAAAGCAACTATTCATCCTGGGAAGATGAGCCATAAGATAGGGTCAGATAGGGTCAAAACACCTGAGCAATATTTGCACCAACAAGCCAAAAGATAATTCTCAGTGAAGTGAATGAGTGAATGAGTGAATGAGTGAGAGAGTGAGCGTCACCCTCTTTCAAGCCTCTCTTCTCTACCAGGTGACCACTTATTATTGCACTAGCTCGTTAAAGGCTACAAATGAACACCTGGGTCGTGTTTGAAATCCAGGGTGGCTCTGAAATCGAGTCGCCCGAAAAAAGGAGCCGTAGTGTGTACTTCGCTCAGCACCTGCTGTCAGCATAAAGCCAGGATTGAAGGCAAACATCAAAGCCAGAGGAGCCTCTGAGCTGGAGCACTTGTTATTCTGAGGATGTCTCACAGCTTATCCACTCACTGGCTTTATCAAATCACCTTGGAAGAATCGCCCCCCCAAAAATTGTAGTTGTCTGAGTGAATGTCTTGGTGTGATTGTATTTTAACCCCTGTGTGTGGATGTCTTCTACAGTATGCCTGCACAGTATGAGTCTGTGTGTGAATGAGCGCCCCATACAGGGAATGGATAGAGATACTGTGGGTAACCTCTACCACGTCCTTCAGACAGGACACGACATTGTATCTTTGATACGTCTGTGTCTGCGAATGGGTGATACGTGGGGGAACATCCGCCTCGTGCACCAATTCCACTGACTTTAGAGAGTTGTGTACATTTCAAAACAGCAGGGAGGAGGATCTCTGGGCACCGCCATGGGGACTGAACCCACAAAAATGTACGTCATTAATCAAATTTGTTGTTTAGGTGCAATCAGCTCACGTTTCATGTGATTCGCACTGGGTCTCTTAATCAGATATAAGTTTAGAAAATATGTCATGACCTGATACAAGCTGAGGCTTCTAAATGGGAGCTGTCATGGCATTGGTTGTTGTCACGTAAACGGCTGGCTGCTGTTGGGTGCTGTCTGCTCTGGTAACCCACTGGGGGACAGAGATGTCACCACAATGTTCAGTCAAAGTGCACGGATACCACCAACATACACAGACAGCATTAAGTCCCTTGCTATATCAGGAAGAGCAACGTTAGAGAGAGGTTGAAGACAAACTGTGAAAATGCTCATTATACGGCCCCTGAAAATGACAGATAATTAATTGTAACTAATTGTAATGACAACATAATGTGAAGAAGGGTTACAGAATGTGAAACGGTGGGTTTATGAATGTGCTGTATTGAGGGTGAGAGTAAGTCTGAAATAGGGTGTTGAATTGCAAAGTGGTCAGCATATGGAGGCAGTTTTTAGAGAAAGTAAAGGATTGGCAGGTGTATTCTTGAGGAATGTTGATATGATAATTCATGTAAGACAAAGAGGCATGTAAGGCACTGTGAGCTATTTATGACAGGGGGTCTATGGAGGGCTTTGCATTTTTTTGATTAAAGTTTTCATTTTCTGGGCTTTCCCACGGAGAATATCATTCAGTTCAAATTTGGATATTTTGTCCTTGCTGCAGATTTTACGTTGTAGACTTACAAATCTCTATTTCTAACAAGCCAACGCTCCCTCTCTCTGGTGAATTAGGCGCAGCCTAGTATGGCTTCTAACAACATTAGCATTACTAACTACTATATGACATCAAAGTGTGCACAGCAGGTAGTATACAATGCTATAGGCTTATTTTAGCTGTCAGTACTCCTACAGTTTTCAATATTTATGCATTCCATCTGGGAGCTTCTTCATGCCAGTTTGCTTTTCAAAGTTGATCATAAGTCCGTTCTATATAGGGAAAGCACTTGGAGGTGTGAAGCAGTGACTGACAGACAGCAAAGGAATCTTGTGTATATTTTTCTCTTATCTAGTCTATAAAGTAGTGCTTGCAAATAAATTAATTTCATTATTGCTTAATGGGTTTGCCTACAAAATGTTAGAAAATGGTGAAAAATGCCTGGTATAGTTTCCAAAAGCCTAAAAAGAAGGTATCATCACAGCAATGTTTCGGGGGCATTTTGCTCGAATAATGACAAAAAACAATGAATCTATCGCTAAAACAATTTTTTGATAAATTGTTGCAGCTGTGCATTACAGGACATAAAACTAATAGAATTAACCCTCACCATGGCTTCTGTCACTTAATGCAATATCCAAATCCTCCATAGATTTCTCTCCAAAAAAGCAACCAGTCCTTACTATCATAACATTGAAGAACAGTGAGTTGTCCGACAGGGATACTGCAAGTAGACAGACAAAAACAGAGAATGTTAAGTAGTCTGATGTGCGTTAATGTGAAGTGAAGAACGAAATCGAATGTAAGACAGGAAGATTGAAGCAGAGCAGTAAGCTTTTATGAGGACAGTGAAGTAAAGTGTGTTGAGAGCTTCAGAGAGAAGTGCAATGAAGGCGACGGAAGGTAGGATTCTGGTCATGCAGCTGTTAAGTGAAACTAGTTCTGCTCTTGAATATAAAATTTCTGGTAGAAAATGCTCACGTGAGGTTGAAAGAAAAAGCTAGCCATACAAGAGCTATTAAGAGGGTCTTTGTCATTGTAGTTTGAAGAAGTAAGAGCGTGTTCTGTTTTCCCATTGAGAATACATTAATCTTACAAAGCCACCAGCGAGGTGGTAACATATAACATAAAAATACCAATATAGTTTGTGTGCCCACACAAGAGAGATAAAGAAGTCATAATACCTTTCCTACACACATCTCCGTAACTGCAGCCTACAGTAGCTACAGTCTTTAACTTTCTTTTCAACACTATGTTGCTTGTCTAGCTGAATACATTCGTGTGTGTGTGTGTGTGTGTGTGTGTGTGTGTGTGTGTGTGTGTGTGTGTGTGTGTGTGTGTGTGTGTGTGTATCTATGATTAAGAGTAAGGTAAGACAAGACAGAGAAGCAACACGAACGGAGAGAACAGCCACCCTGAGGTGGGTGCAAAAAATGTCCCCCAAGGTCTTCTCCAAGACAGCAAAATCCATTTGTTCATAATGAACTCGGAGGGCTGTTGTTCGACTTCTACCTGCAAACTCGACAAAGAACTCAGCTGGACGACAACAGAAGGATCCTCTACACTGGGCCTCAGCAGCCATACTGTCCTTTGGGACACAAATCTGCTAAAGGTAGCACAGACGCCTAACATAAAGCACGCCCCCATACTTGGCCTACTAAATGTCAGCGGAGAACTACAGGCACGTTGCACCTTACATGCTCTGGGCATCGCTTGAAATAATTAATAGTACTACTCGGTGTCTTAGGAGGTTCAAAAGAGATTAAAACAAACAAACAAACAAACAAACAGGGAATCCCTCTACTTCATCAAAGGTAGGGGGAACAACAGGTAATAATGAATATTAAACTGAAGCTAAGTCATCACCAATGTTGAACAGTGCAGTTGCGAATTAAAGCGTTTATCGAACTGTGTGATAACTACCAACATCCAGGGAAACCTCTGATTTGAAGTGTAAGGACCAACAAGGTATTTTAATTACACAGAGTGCAGTATAACAATACCAGGTTATATTAGTATAATTTAATATGTGGAACATCAGACCATTGCAAGCTATGCATCTTTTGATTTCCAGAACTGACAGTGTTTTTAATTGAGGTGGCAAAAATGTAGACATTTCTAACGATGCTCTGGTACTTTTGTGAAGGACGGCCGAATGAGCCAACTTAAAAGCAGACCCTCGTGATCAAACAAGAAGCTCATACTATTATATTCTCATATGCTGCAGTTATCTGCAGTCGGTGTCCCAAATGCTGCTGTGCCAACGTGTTCTAACCAATATGCATACTGAAATGTGTACCGTGCAGTTTGTCAATTTGTGGGGAGAATCTGTGTATAACTGGCTCCCTCTCATGGAAGCAACTGGTCGCTAAAAGGTAACACTGTTAATGAGAGTCACAAAGAAACACTGTTTGGTTTGCAGGCATCATTTCTAAACATCAATCCACTCGCACTCAAAGTGGCTTTACAGTGCTGATAGAACACATTTTTCACATACAATTTAACAGTGTACTGATTTACTGTTTGTTTGATTTCCTACAATTTATGATGAGGTTCAGTGGATTACATCATGCTGTAATGTGACGATAACACATGCATAAAGGCTTCCTAATGTGGTTATGATGCCTTGTTACGCTTGATGTGCAACGCTTCCAAACAGCCTTGCACTGGGCTGTTGCTCTCCTACTGAATTGTTTTATTTATTACAGCTAAAATTACACAGTTTAGTTACTGATGGTCCACGACAGTATTCCGTACAGAAGAAATGTATCCAGTGAAGACAGAATTTGATAAACAAAACAAAGTTCAACATTATGTTGTTGTTCTTTCTTTTGCAAAAACTTTTATTTCTTGCAAAACCCAAGTGAGGTTTATAAACTATGGATCTTTTTTTGGAAGTCTTTGTGGCAACCCCATCAAATATTTAATATAAATCAATCAAATCTAAATTATGGTACAAAATGGGTGTGTGCCATGCTCACTGTTCCTAAGCATTAAATATTGGGAGAATACTTGCCTTGGCAGCAACACTGTGTTTGAATATTCCTGATTAAATCAGCATTCATATTAAAGGGCCCAACCCAAAAGCCATTTATTTTGTACTTGTAGAGTAATTTTGCTGGTGCAGCATCATATTTGTCCTGTTTAAGTAAGTGGCCTCTTTGAGGAATGCTAAAAATGTGAAGGATGTAAAATGTTCCCTGTGATCTCTATTGAACTTAGCAGCATGCTTCCAGACAACAAAACCTGTCTGGATTTCCAAACTGTACGGAATGCTGCCAGTTTACATGTATGTTGTGTCGATAATACAAATAGTGTATAAACTGATGTACTGTCAGGTAAAGTTTTTTCAGATATATACTTAAATAGTCGGTGTTGATGATTTTTTTTTTGTCTTTCAGTTGTTCTACCTTGTCATGTTTCCTTTATAATGCACACTCCTCAGAAGGAGGAAGAGCTGTTGTTGCTGTCCAGGTGGTCTTACCTATTTGGTGTGTTTTTGTCTTTGTTCGGTGCTTTTGTATCCACACTGATGTGTCCCCTGAGTGAACTTCACCCAAACTGAATCCCACTGTGCGACTGAGTTGTGTGTTTGTGAAAGATGCAGTGCATTCAAGTGAAAACGGCATATAACAACTCTTAAAGCCAACATGTGTCCTGTCATACACAGCAATGACCTTGTTGGATCTCAGAGTTACGCTCACGCACGTCTTCCAGAAAGTTCCCGCAGCCTCTCTCCCCCTACTCCTATGGACTCTAGGTTTAACTCTAATCTTCTCGTCTTCCCAAAAAACTGACAATGAAAAAAAACAAGATTAAAAGAAAAAAAGAAAAAAAGCCATAACTAAAAATGGGCCTTGGCGCTTATTAACCACAGAGAGAAGGCCTGAATCCTCAGGCACCTCCTGAGTGTTACCAGGGATTTAGACACATGTTGGACTCCTCCTTACAATAAGAGCCAAAGCAGGCAGCAGGAACGTACTGGCTTTTTTGACCACTTTCGGGAAGCAGCAAACAGGAATAATAACGACCAGCAATATGCAATGAGAACTACCAGCCTGCACTCAAGGAAGGGAAACAAATTCACCAGGCTAACAAACTACAATCAGGATTTGCAGGCTACACCGACAATCAGTGGTCTGCAATAATAACTGCTAATTGTCCAGACTGACAGGGGAATGAATCTTCCTTTGTAAAGCATGCATACGTCACTGTTCTTTGGCTCATGAGGGATGACTCCCTCTCAGTATCTACAGACACAAGCCCTCGATTCACCCTCTCTCCATGTTTGTCATCAGACCTGTGTACATTTCTACAATAACTCCTACATGAATTGAAAGGAGATGTCTTATTCTGGAATATTATTCAATAAAATAACATATATTTGTATGATTGTACGCAGTGCCCTTTGATGTTTTGTCTTCTCTTTCCCCATTTCCTTTTAAAAACTTCTAAAACGCTGTATTACTTTATTCATGATCAAGGCGCTGTAGGTTATCTGCATACCAGTATGTGTCCTCCTTCTATTTGCCCTTGCGGCCAATGAGTGGCATGCTTTAATAAATGAATTGTCTGGACCATATAACATCACAAAAAATAAATATATTTAAATAGGCAAATATACTGAACAAATTTATAAAACGCAACATTTGTTTTTGCCCCCATTCATCATGAGCTGAACTCAAAGATCTAAGACTTTCTCTATGTACATAAAAGGCCTATTTCTCTCAAATACTGTTCACAAATCTGTCAAAATCTGTGTTCTCCTTTGCCGAGATAATCCATCCCCCTCACAGGTGTGGCATATCAAGATGCTGATCAGGTGTGCCTTATGTCACGTTCGAGACCGGTCGGAACTGGGATATTTCCCAGTTGAAACTTCTGACTTCCGACCTCAAAGCGTTCCAGGTGCATGGTGGTGCATGACGCCGAAAGTGAACGAAAACCATGGCTGACCGTGACAAAGTGGACACACAGTTGCACCCTCAGCAGTGTTTTAGGAGTTAATTAAAAGGACGGCAGTTTAACTGCAACAACTGGCATGAATAGCCTATACTTTACTAGTTTTGTGTACCCCTCTAGCTACATCAGTTGGTAACCCTCAAGTCAGTCAGTGTTGTAGGTTATACTTCCTAATGTTTTGGCATTTTTAACAATAACTTTTATGTGGAGACGATGACTTTATGAGATTCTTTACTGTAGCCAGCTACCTAATAGGCCTAACATATTTCTACATCAGTGTACATGCACAACAGGTTTTACTATATGATGATGATGTATTATTTTAATTTAAATACATGCAAATATACTATTTGTTGCTTTTTAGTTTATGGTTTACCATTTACAATGTGTGCATCCATGGGCGCTGACATTGTTTTGTGACGTAATTCAGTTGCTACTCGTGAAGTCAGGGTACATATTTTTTCTCCGAGTTCACAAGCAGGAAATCCGACTTCAGGTGGCGTTCCAGGGTTGTTTTTCTAGTTGGAGGTCTGAAATTTCCCAGTTCCGAGTTTCCTGGAACGCAGCATTAGGCTGGCCACAATAAAAGGCCACACGAAAATGTGCAGTTGCATGCTGACTGCAGGAATGTCCACCAGAGCTGTTGCCCGTGAACTGAATGTTCATTCCTCTACTATAAGCTGTTTCTTCCTATATCTTTAAAAGGGAGTGTGGAATTCGCTATGAGATGGCTTGTTTTTTTGGAGTGGTGGCTATTGAGTGCTTATATATTATCTCCAGGTTTTTGTACTCTTACTCAAAAAACATTACCAATGTTCCTAAAAAATCTGCCTGTGCTTACTGCCAAAATCATATTTATTAAAATGATAAACAAATTTATAAACTTTCAGTGAACATACTCATGTTCACACAGCTCCTTTCAACATGTAGTGTATTTGACAATCAGTCTAATTCAAATTAGTCCTCTGGATAAATAACAGTAACACTAATATCTCAAGACTGTATGTAATCTCATAAAGCTACACCACAGATAATAATAGGCCTACAATAAAACCAAATCACTGAGAGGGCCCACATGCCACAAATACAGCAGCTATAGTCTACTTAAAAATAAATAAATGCCTGACCTTAAAATTTGAATTATTGAGTTTTGTGCAATGTAAACCTGAGATTGGTCTGCTTTCACATACAACTACAGCAGAAACACAAACGTCAGCTTTTCTAATGCGCACTTCATCTCAGAGTTGGATGTGGTTGTGATCAACCCCAGATGCAGAATACAGAGGCCACATCAGAGGCCAGGCATCCCAGGGGATTCCCTGCTACACCCAACACTAGTAGCCTGTATGAAACCCATGCTGTTTCCTAACAAAAACATAACATACTGTAGTTTCACTCATGAACAACACTTTCATCAATTGTGGATTTTTTTATAAACTTAAAAAAATATCAGCTGCAGTGGAAAATGGAAGGAGACAGAGCAACTTGCTCTAAGCATATCAATCAATCAAACAGTCGTTTTTTGGCGATTTTCTCAGATAAGACAATGCTTTTAACCTACAAACCATCCATCTCTGTCAAACGTCAATGATATCTGGCAACTTCAAGTCATACACTTACAGTAAATTATACAAACAAAACAAGAGTGGCAAATACTTGGCCACACAACTTGTTGCACTGCTAATAAAACGAGCAATCTTCAAATATTAGCACCAGTGGCAGAGCAAGCTGTCTTACCTTAAACCAGGTGTTTGTCCTTTGCATTCTTCTGTTAGAAGTTTCCCGCCACAGCAATAAATTCCAAAGCTTTCAAGACGGTGTAACCTTACTAGCGAAATTTCAGCTACGCTAGCTTGTTTCACAGGTTCTTTATTTAAGGTCCTTGACATATTTATT